GACCTGTGTTTTGTGCACCCTCATCGTGTGGCTCAGCCCATGGCATGTCATCCTGAACACTGGGGCTCTGGGGGCATTCAGGGCTTGGCGCCCCTCACCTCAATCTGGTACCTAAGCCAAGTGTGGGCCTCTCAAGGGGCAGAAGGTTTTCCCAAAGCATCCATATACTCAGGGTAGCTTAAGAAGGCAAACACAACATGTCTACATTTTCCAAGTCATGTCGTGTGTGTGTGCTTGTATGTGTAATTATAAAATAAAGCATGAGATATCAAGAGACTTTTCTATTTCTGTGTGCGGCTTGGCATACGCTTCAAGGTCTCTTCTGTAATTCAGGATATTTGAGAGAAAAATCTAAGAAATGCTGACAGAATGGAAAGCATTTGGGCGCTAGGGGCAGCCAAATTCAAGTTCAAATATATAACTTCTGCGACCAGCTAGCTGTGTAAACATGAGCAAATGAGCCCTTCTGAGTCTCGGTTTCCTCTTCCATAAAACGGGAAGAAAAGGGAAAACAAATACAAAACCAGGGAGGAAGGGACAGGGCAGAGCAGAGTAAGGTGTGTGTGATAAAGTCACTTTGCCTCTGTTTCCCCCGAAGGATCTGAGCCTTCCCGAGCTTGTGATTTTAAATTTGAGTCAAAGGCCCTGGAAGTGAACCTGTCTGGAGTCAGTGGGATCTTGGCTCCTCGTTAACCTTCCTGCTCCCCTGCCCCCTTTTCTCAGTGCCAGGTGGCAGGGGGTAGGGTGGGGTAGAGCCCAGGCTATGGCTATTCTGAGCCTTGTTTTTCTTGGAGGTGCGCTGGAGGCCCGGGACGCTCCTCCCTCCCCCTCCAGCTTTGGAAGCCATCTAGTCTCTCCCGTTATTTCCAAAACTGTTCCTGGCTTGAGGTGCTGGGACTTCCCTGGGGATGCAGAGTCTCCACAGTGCCAGTTCTGAGAAAGCCCTTCCTCCTCGTGGGTCCCAAGGCCGCACCCCTACTCCACTCAGGCTGGAGCGTGAGCCAGCCAGCTGTGGTCACGTAGTCCTCTTTGGGGCCAAAGTGGCTCAGTGTTACAGCACTGGCCTAGCACGGCAGAAACAATGTCACTATCTTCTTTCTTTTTTTTTTCAATGTCACTATCTTTTACAAAGAGCAGAGCAGAATGGGGGCAGGTGCGGGGGGCCGACACCTTCTCTGTTTCTTCTGGATTTCTCTTTCCTTAGAGGGAGGATTCTTTCTGCCTCTGACCTGTCTCCCACAGTGAAAATTCTCCACTTCCCCCCACAGTGAAAATTCATGTCCTACTGTGGGAGGCCCATCGGTGATGCCAACCAGCTGTCCTCTCCCAAGCAGGAAAGGGAAGAGAGGCCAATCCTAGGGCCTGGGGAGTGTGTGGACCACAGCTTTCTCCAAGCACCTCTGTGTACCTGGAACTATCATGACGTTTGCTGTACCTGCCTGCCACCTCTTCTAGTGTTTATGCAACCTATTGTGACCAAGTAGGACACTAGAAATATGATCAATGCAATCAAACTGCAACTTTAAATCCCTAGCACGTGGTCTCCCCCAGCTTTACTTTGGCCCCTCTCTGCCCCTTTATGAAAGGGAGTCAGGGAGGAGCTCTCCACCCTCAGGGCACTCACATTTCAGCCTCCATTCAGGAGAACATGCTCCTTCCTGCTCCCTCAGCCAGGGCACCTGTGCCGAGTACTAGTCCGCCGCTTGTATAAACCAGCTTTTCCTCATCCATCTGTCAGTGAACGAGGGACACTTTTGCTGCACCATTTCTTGGCTGTTATGAATAATGCTGCATGGCACACGGGAGTGTTGAAATCTGGGCAAGATCCTGATTCTGACTCTTTGGGGCTTTGCCATCTGATGGCAGTTCTATCTTTAAATTTAATTTTTTGAGGAATTTCCATAGTGTCCTCCATGCCTGCTGTACCATTTTACAGTTCCACTTTTCCTAACTTTTTCTTAATATGATGGTGAAATTTCATTTTATGCTGAGAGGCCTAAGTCTCAAGATTTTTCAATTTTTACACATTCTTTTTAAATTAAACCTACTGATATTGTTAAATTAAAATCAGCCTAAAGCTACCCCTATACCTTAAATCCCTATGAAATTGCAACTTAATATGTAAACAAACTGCCACCTGAGAGCATAGCCTTGTAACAAATAGCTGAGCATCAGCCAATCACAGCAGCTGAGCTTCACCCAATCACAAGCTGCTGACAGCCAGACCACGCCCATGTCAGGTTTAGCCCATATCACACACCCTGCAGGAACCAACCAAGCTGCTTCTGAAGTTGTACCTTTTTTTTTTTTTGGAGACCCAGTCTCACTGTATAGTTCAGATTGGCCTTGAATTCACTGTGTGGTCCAAACTGGCCTCAAACTAACGGCAATCCTGCCTCAGCCTCCTGAGTGCTGTGATTACAGGAAGCACATGCAGCAGTAAATGTTTTCTGTTCACAGCTAGCTTTTTAAACTCCTGGTTTGGAGTGCTGCCTTATTTATGAATTGTTATTTGTTCAAATAAACTTTACTAAATTAAAAAAAAAATACACATACTGTCACTTCCCATCCAAGATTTCCATCCCCTTCCTGGCTTTTCCCTTTCTGTACATTTACTGTATCTACATACTAAATGTTCTGTTTGTATATTTATTGTCTTTCTCAGCACTAAGATGTAAAGTCCAAGACTCTGTGCTTCACAGTTGTGTCCTCAAAGGACACAAGGTGCGTGGTAGACACTTCATGAATCTTTGGTGAATGCCTGTGTGGAGGGGGAGGAACAGGCAAAGCTTGCTATACGCGCGTGCTAGTTGACAGAGATATCAGCAGAGGGATAGAGAGATATGAAACACACACCATCCCCAAGCTGAGGCCTAACCCTAACCCTACTTTAATTGGAATTGAAGAATTTGGGAAAAAAAAAAAAAAAAAAAAAAAAAAAACAGCTTTCTCACTATATGATGTCACTGCATTTTTTTTTAAGAGTTGGGAAGATAAACCAGGCATGGTGATCCACGCCTGTAATCCAAGTACTTGGGAGGCTGAGGCAGGAGGATCCTTGCAAGCTCGAGGCCAGCCTGAACTGCATAGCAAGGCCTGTCTTAAAAAGATAAAAAGGAGCGTGGTTTACACGAGAGGGCAGTGTGGGTACTAAAAGGAATCAAGCAACACAATGGGAAGCTGGGGGATGAGCAGTAGGAACAGCTCCTGAGAGACAGGAGGGCTCCCCAGGGGCTGTTTAAAGCAGGATCTGGTAGTACCTGGCCAGTGGCATCTCTAGCCACTTACCTAAAGAAGCCTCTGAGGGTAAGAACCCGCAAGTGGCTCGCCCCAAGGCGCACCACTGTTGGACATCAGAGCTACAGCTGCAGTGACCAGGAGCGGAGGTAGGGTCAGCTCACTTCCCAGCCTGCCCCCACTCCCCCGGCAGCCACAAAGCATGCATAGTTCCCAGCACTGGACAGAAGGAAGGTTGACAGTCCAGGGGGAGATGTGAACGCAACATTTAAGCAATGTCCTGTCCTGCCACCAGCATCACGGCTACCCCCAGTACTTAGGGCTCTGATTTGGCAGCCAGTGGGAATAGTAAAGCCACTAGTAGCACTACCACTACTACGCCTTCTTTCCTCCTCCTCCTGTTTTTTTTTTTTTTAAGATATAGTCTCTCAGGGCTGGAGATTTAGCTCAGTGGCATAAGCACCTGCCTTGCAAGCACATGGTTGTGAGTTCGATCTCTGGTACTGATTAAAAAAAAAAAAGAAGGAGATATGGTCTCTCCATGTACTTCAGGCTAGCCTTGAATTTATTTATGTAGGCCAGGCTGGCCTTGAACTCACAACCATCCTCCTGCCTCAGTCTCCCGAGTGCTAGGATTACAGCAGTGCACCACCACATCCCATCCCAACCACCTGATTGTTAGGTTCTTCTTTGGCAGTGCTAGGGATCAAACCCAGGGCCTCAGGCATGCTTGGCACACTCTCTACCACTGAGCTATACCTCCAGCCCCATTTGCATTTCCATAAGCCCTCTAGGCAGATCTAATGCACAATCAAGTTTGGAAGCTACGACTCCAGTCCAGCTGTTTGTTGTTCAGATGGGTAACCCAAGGATCAGAGAGGAGAAAGGACCAGCCGGAGGTCTCAAGTCAAGTTACCACTTCCCAGCTCAACCCCCTGGGCGGAAGTCATGCCTGCAATGATGGCTCTCCTCCCTGGTTTCATTCTAGGGGAAAGGATGTTGATCAAAAAGCAGCAAGGGGCCGGGGATCTAGCTTAGTGGGATAAACCCCTGCCTGGCAAGGTCCTGAGTTCTATCACCGGCACCAAAAAAAAAAAAAAAAAAGTAGCATGGACACTATTGAGAGGCGAGGCTTGAAGGGTACCACTGCCCACCTCTCTGAGTCTCCACTTCCCCGCCTGCCTGTGCCATCAGGGTGTTGTGGAGAAGCCTTGGCAGCTGCCTCTCCTAGCCTGCCCGCGTCACGCAGGTGGTTCCCCTTCCCTCAGTCCCTGTGTCCTCCCTTCTCCATTCCTGGGGTCCTCAGTCTCCCTGAGAAGCAGCCAGGTGCAAATCATCCCCTGTAATTCACAGTATTTCTGTGACTTTCAAGTCACGCCACATATCTGAGGGACACCACAGATCACTTCCCTCATCCAGAGCTCCTCCCGGTCATTGGTCCCAGGACAGTTGCCTCTGTCTCCGATTCAGCCTCGTGGGAAGAAGACAGTCTGGTGACAAGTGTCATCCCCATCCAGCCCCTCCTAAGTGTCCTCTGGGTCTGTGACTCAGCTCAGCCAAATCTGTCTTCAAGACAGGAAAACACTGTGAGCTGTGTGCCGTGATGTGAGAAAGGCAAGGGACAGAAACACAGTGGGACAGCCCCAACTGTCACCACCACCTCCTCTGCCTTTTCCTCGTCCTCCTCCTCCAGATGCCCTCAGTCTGCCCAGGAGGCCGGGCCATGGCCACACTCACCTGCCACAGCTCTCTCTCTCCCACAGGCGACCACGATGATCCCCTGGGTGCTCCTGGCATGTGCCCTCCCCTGTGCTGCCGACCCACTGCTTGCTGCCTACGCCCGCAGAGACTTCCAGAAGGGCTCCCCTCAACTGGTCTGCAGCCTGCCTGGCCCCCAGGGCCCCCCAGGACCCCCAGGAGCCCCAGGCCCCTCGGGAACGGTGGGAAGAATGGGCTTTCCTGGCAAAGATGGCCAGGATGGCCAGGACGGGGACCGGGGTGACAACGGCGAGGAAGGTAAGAGCCTGCGTCTATCCCTGTTCCCACCTGCAGCTGATAGCACCCAGCCCACAGGGGGCTTATGTAGCTAATAAAGGAGTATGAATCTCTTTCTTTATTAAATAAATGACTGATTCTTTAAAAACAGGGCAATGCATTCCAAAAGGAAAAGAGAGTATCAGATCTCATGTTCCTGCCTCTGAATTCTAAGCAATTTTTCTTCGCAAATCTCCTGAAACACTATTCAAAACCCCTTTGGGTGCAAGTGATAAAAACTGTTTATAATCTCAGATGGAACTGATTGGAGCTGGGCTTCAGGAATGGCTAAATCCAGGAACTCCAATATCTTTGTCAGGGTTGTGCTTCTTTCTCCTCAAAGGCTGGGAGTTCTTAAATGGCAACAGGTGGGTTCAAGACCGTACCTCATGGCTTTATCCACACTGCGCATCTCTGGATGATTGATTCTCCGGGTCCACACTCAAAAGTATCCCGGATACGTACACTTTGATCACCGAGAGGAAGTGCCGCCATTTGCCAGGACTGGATTTTTGTGAGTGTATGGTGAGGGCGTCTGGTCATTGTGATTGACAGCCTCACTGGGATGCCTTAAAGCAGAAAAGCAACTCCCCAAGAAAAGTGCCAAGCTGACAGTGAACAGATTGATACTGTCTGTAGACCCTTTAGCTTTACATTCCTCACATTTCTGAACTTTTACCCCAGAATTTAAGTGTTACCATTCTCAAATGTATATTTTAATCAATAGGGAAATTAAATATGGTGCTGGGGACCAAGCCTAGAGCCTGACACGTACTTGCTAAGCGTATGCGGTGCCACCGAGCTACACCCTCAGCCCTAATAGTGCCTCTAATTTGCATGGTATTGTAACGCAGACAAAGCACTTTGGGGTAAGTTGCTCATCTGATCATCAATATCATCCTGAAAGGAGATATTCTTATCAGCCCACGTTAGTAATGAGGAAACTGGGAGTTAAAGTGATTGACAAAAGCTGCAAGGACTTGAGCTTTGGGAACAGACTCGGATACTTATTTTGGCAAATGTCTTTACCTCCCTCGAACCTCAGTTTCCTCATCTCTTGCCAGGGCTAACGACGGCCTCCACCTCACTGGGTGGTGGTGAACACCGTGAGAAACGCGTCTCACATTAGCCACCCCTTAGCTGATTTCCTGAGCTTTCAAATCTGGGAGTAGGCTCCAGACCCAGGCTTCTCCTGCCACACGGAACTAATTCTCCAGAGCACCTGCTTCCCAGGAAAATAACCGAGAGTGAGGACAATGGCTTGGACTCAGGGTCCTGCAGCAGCCAGGCACTGGATGTCATGGTGTTCCATTCCCACCAGGGGAGTGGCCCCAGGACCAGGCAGGTGCTCCAGCGGGCTTGCTTGGGGCCATGAGTGCCATGCTGTGAGTTCTTGCTGAGGAAGAAGTCACATTGGGAGGGAGACAGAGTCCTGACGCGTGAAACCCAGATGAAGTTACGATCATGTCTGACCACTCCCATATGCAGCAAACCCATATGCAGAAAGGCCTTGGAAAGTAGGGCTGGGGATACAGCTCAGCAACACAGCACCTGCCTGGCAAGTGTGAGGTTGTGAGTTAGGTTCCTGGTACAAAAAAAAGAAAGAAAATTCAGTGTTTCCTGGAGATTCTTAAAAAGGGAATCAAGAAGGAAACATAAGCCAGACACGGTGGCACATGCACTTGAGAGGCTGAGGCAGGAGAATCACAATTTTTGAAGCCAGTTCAGGCTACCTATGCAGATCTTGCCTTAAAAAAAACAAAGCTAGGTATGGTGGTGCTTGCTTATAATCCCAGCACTTGGGAGGCTGAGGCAGGAAGATTGCAGCAATTTTGAGACCTTGTCTCAAAATGAATGAATAAATGAATCTGTTAAAAAAAAAAAAAAAAAAAAAAAAAGAATCCCAACACAAAATCATGGTCAACCTCCCTGGCAAGGTTCCTTACCTCCACTCTTCTGGAAAAACACGCCAAGCCAAAATGATTCCTCTGTTCCTTCTGCTCTAGGCTCCTTCTCCCACCTTGTTTCTTTTCACTCTATCAAGAACAGCTTTGTGACTTTCTTTTTGTGTGTGTGTGACTTTCTTGATTTTATTTTTTTATTCTTCTTTTTCTGTTTTCTCCTCTTTGGTACTGGAGATTGAGCCCAAGGCCTCAGCTACCCCCAGAACATCATCTACTCCTAAGCTACAACTTGAGCTCCCTTCTTCTTTGTGTACTTACTTTTGGCTTCTGTTTTGTTTTGATTTTTTTTTATCGGTACCGGGCATCGAACTCACGACTGCCTGCTTGCAAGGCAGGCGCTTATGCCGCTGAGCTAAATCCCCAGCCACTTGTTTTGATTTTTGCGACAGGGTCTTGCTCTATAGTCCAGGCTGGCTTGGACTCACAGTGATCTTCTGCCTCAGCCTCCTGAGCGCTGGGATTACAGGCCTGCATATCACATGTGTTTTTCCCCCCAGGGGTGCAAAAATACAGTCTGATATCACATTCAAACAATGCAAAGAAAGCAGAATCCTGCTTAGTCACCCTCTCTCCTCGTCTCTCCTCCTTTAGATGGAACCACCGTTAACTGGTTACTTGTGTATCCTTCCTGGCCTTTGCTTATGTAATTATTCACACCCTTACATCATTTCTAGGTGTATGGCAATACCAGGCATTGCCGGGCCCTTGACATAAGCAATCTGTTCCTGCAAATTGGATTTTCACTGAGAAAATGTTTCTTGGAAATCTATTTCCCAATTTTTTTTTTTTTTTTTTTTTTTTTTTGTCTTTTTAGGATAGGATCTCACCATGCAGTTCAGGCTGGCCTTGAATTCACTTTGTAGCTCAGGCTGGTCTCAAACTCTTAACAATCCTCCTGCCTCAGCCTCCCAATTATTATTTAAAATAGAAAAGATGTACATGTATTACACGCTAACTCTAAACCCCAAGACGCGGTGAGGTGCCTGCCTATGTAACAAAGCACCTTGTCAAGATGTAAAATGCCTGCAACATTTCTTCCTTGATCACTGTCATGGTCGTTTTCTTGTTGCTGGACACAGTACCTGACACCCACACCCTAAAGGAAGGGAGGTTTACTTCGCTTGTGACTACCATCCAGGGCCGGCTCTGAGCACACACGGCACGGCCAATGGCACAGAAGAAGGCAGCTGCTCGTGGAAAGGAAGCCAAAGGACGGTGCTGGGAGGTCACACCCCCAGTGACTGGAGGCCCACCAGGCCAGCCCCAAGAGCACACCTAGCTATGAGCTCTCGTGGGTTAACCCACTGACGAGTCCTGCACCCCACCTTTGAACACACAAGGTTCTGGGGGCCATCTAGATCCAAGTCATAACAACCTCACGGTTCAAGTGGTTGTCACAAGCAGTGGCCTTGGGTCCAGTGATGCGAGGATGCCCAGCAGCAGCAGCCACCCTGCTGCTCAGGGAGCCTCAGCCTCTACACTCAGTTCTGCCATTCCTCCAGTGTACGCCTGTATTTAGATGTAGCTCAAATTTTTATTTATTTTTTTAAATGCATCGAGCAACCATAACTATAAATCTTTGTTTTCAATATACTCACTGGCCAAAAATGTTGTATTAACAGAAAAATATATTGTATGAAATACTTACATTGAAAAACCAGAGGCGTCTTGCAGGAAATCATTACTGTGGGAGAAATGTCCTGCAGGGTATGCCAGCTCATATTTAGCTAGTATTTCCCCTAAGCCAGGCATCGTCCTGTGCACTAAATGTTTTTTGAGTTTTTGGTTTTGTTTTGTTTGTGTTGGCGAGACAGGGTTTCACTATGCAGTTCAGGCTGGCCTTGAACTCACAGTAATCCTCCTGCCTCAGCTTTCCAAGTGCTAGGATTACAGGCATGTGCCACCACACCTGGCTGACTAAATGGGCACTGAGCATTTAGCGTTGTAGTTTTCCTTTTAAAACCCAAGATCCTGCCACTGGGCCTTTCCTCTTAGCATACTTTAGAGATAGTTTCCTATAGGATATAAAAATATAATTCGATTTTTAAATGTCTATATAGAATTCTACAGTATGAGTGGCCATAATTTTCTAATCACTTCCTTTTGGATAGGGCATTTGTTTATTTTTTTTCCTGCTATTATAAGCAGTACTACAATGAAACCTCTATACGTGGGGCTGGGGATTTAGCTCAGCGGCATAAGCACCTGCCTTGCAAGCAGGCAGTTGTGAGTTCGATCCCCGGTACCGATAAAAAGACAAAAGACAAAAAAAAAAAAAAAAAAAAGAAACCTCTATATGTGCTCCTGCGCACCAGGCAGGGATCTTAGCAGAGTATTTTGAAGCTTTTTCCAGTTATCCTCTCAATCCACTGCCAGAACAGCCCCCTGAAGGCCCTAGCACACAAACCAGGAGCTCCTTCAGGAGTAGGGAGAAAGAAAGTGAATTGCTGTGTTGCTCTTTTTGCTCTGATTCACAAAGGTTTGGGAAGGCATTACCATGAGACCAGGTACACATCCAGGTTACACCATCAGGATTTGCCCCATTTCTGTTTGTTTGTTTGCTCTCTGTCTGTCTGTCTATCTCTCTCCAAGATCTTGCCATGTAGCCCAGACCTTCTCACAATCCTCCCACCTCAGCCTCCTGAGTGCTGGAGTTAAAGTTTATGGCAAAGGCTCCCAGCTAAGATTTGCATCACTTCCATGGTTCTCCAAAGCCCTCTTGGTCTTCCTATTTCCCGGGGGCTCCTACTAAGAAGGGAAAAGCCAAGGCCTATGAGGAATCCTCCGTAACACCCTCTGCTCTGTCTTCCAGGTCCACCTGGCCGGACAGGAAACCGGGGAAAGCAAGGACCAAAGGGCAAAGCTGGGGCCATCGGGCTGGCTGGCCCTCGTGGTCCCAAGGGGGTCAGTGGTACCCCTGGGAAGCATGGCACACCAGGCAAGAAGGGGCCCAAGGGCAAGAAGGGGGAGCCAGGCCTGCCGGGCCCCTGCAGCTGCGGTAGTGGCCGGCCCAAGTCGGCTTTCTCAGTGGCGGTGACCAAGAGCTACCCTCGGGAGAGACTGCCCATCAAGTTTGATAAGATTCTGATGAATGAGGGTGGCCACTACAACTCCTCCAGTGGCAAGTTCATCTGCGGTGTGCCGGGCATCTACTACTTCACCTACGACATCACCCTGGCCAACAAGCACCTGGCCATCGGCCTCGTGCACAACGGCCAGTACCGCATCCGGACCTTCGACGCCAACACTGGCAACCACGACGTGGCCTCGGGCTCCACCATCCTGGCTCTCAAGCAGGGGGACGAGGTCTGGCTGCAGATCTTCTACTCAGAGCAGAATGGGCTCTTCTACGACCCTTACTGGACCGACAGCCTCTTCACAGGCTTCCTTATCTATGCTGACCAGGACAACCCCAACGAGCTATAGACTGGCCAGTGTGTGGCCTCCGGGCAGGGACCAGCCTTCTGGACTGGTGCTAACAGAGCAAGAGCCCTGAACTGTCATGTCACTGGGGCTGGGAGCCTCGGAAGCTACTACCCTCAGGCTGACCTCCTTGGCTGCTTTTTAGGTTTTCCATCATTAAATCCAAGTGTTTTTAACTCATCTGTTTACTTCCTCAGTCACTATCTTAGTGTCTGCCTTGCAGCAGGGATTACGCTGCACCTATCTGCAAACAACAGCAGAGGGCAGGTTCTTGTCTGCATCGGGCTTGTATTCCAGGAGGACAGACAGTGTACAAATCAGCAATCAGTGTAACTCAAGGGTAGAAATAGACCTGCCAGGGTTGAGAGTAGTGGAAATAACAGGAGACAGGGAAGAGGCTGACATTCTTTCAAAAAGTCCATCTTTTTAAGCTTAGTATAGAGGCCACAGATTCTAAGTAGACCATTGAATGAATATGTATTATTGATGCGAACACCAGATCAAGAACCAGCTTCTATCCTCCTCTCCCAAGGAGCTAAGGCTCCTCCAAGCCCGTACACATGCTCCTGCACTAACACTCAGGTTACGTCCTAAAAAACCCCAGTAAACTGAATGCGCACACAAACCGAAACACCGGCAACCTGAGGAGCACCCAGCACACCTTAGAAGCACAGCAAAGAGTAGGGCATCAGTCATTTACTGGCTGCCACTGTACCATCGTAGAGTGAGAGGGAAAAGATTGAAATTCAAAGGACAGTTGCTACTGAATGCATATTGCTTCTGTACCAGCATAAAGTAAAAAAAAAAAAAAAAAAAAAAAAAAAATCCTAAGTTGAGTCATCCTAAGTGTGGAGCCATCTGTATCAAGAGGCTTATTTTTAAACTGAGCCCTGAAGCAGGACAGAGCAATGGTAAAGCTCTGGGAGGAGGAGTCCTCTGGCCAGTGAGCTGCCAGTGTAAAAGCCCCGATGAGAGGAAGAGATGAGCCCATTTGAGGAACTGATTGTAAGCCAGGGGGGTGCAGAGGAGAGAAGGGAGGCAAGAGGCTGCAAAATCCACCTCTTGGGTTTGGGTGGTGGTTGAGAGTTCGTACCCCTCAAGAGAGCTTGGCTGGGAGCAAAAATGAGCATGACGGTAGTGTAAGGGTATCGTGGAGTCTGCTCGGAGTGGTCCGGTCAGTCACAGAACTGAGCCCTTCCCGTTAGTTACAAATCACTTGCTGCGCACATCTCAGTTAGGGAGCTAGACCAGGACATCACAAATTCCTGAGACCCATCATCCTTGCATGGCAGAAATAGAGCCCTACAAATGAATCTCACCTGGTCCAGGTGTTTCCAGGGCACAGACGTCCCAGAGCCTCCAAAGCCACAGCAGAGCTGAGCCAGTCCCGCAGAGAGACTGCTAGGGAGAGCTGGTGATGCCCCAGCACAGCGGCCTGCCCTGACTGCTCCCTGGGGGACCCTCGGGCCCAGGCAAGCCTGCAGGGGGTGGTCCCCGAAAAGCAGCCCAACATTCATGAAATGAGGTCATTTAATAGTAACTTCCTTCTCACTGGGGCCTGAATGGTCTGAGCTTGGGGTGGGCCTGAGAAACCCAGGCAGAGGTGTGTGGCCCAGATGCAAATGTGGATGAGAGGCTCCCTGGAGAAAGGGCTGGCTGCTGAGATGCAAGCAATTGCCTTGTTCCTGTGCAATTAGTATTTCCTTTCTTTTAAAAAAATAGGAAAGCCTTTAGCGATTTCATCTTCCTCCCCACCCCACCCCACACCCAGATATGGGCATTTAAAGGTAGCTGACCTGATCCTTTGCCGCTGAGTAATAAATCCAGCCTGAGAAAGTGGGGAGCTCCTAAAGCTCTTCACATGTCACATGTCACCACTTCATGTCTTCTTGGCACACTTGCTACCAAGAAGGCCTCAGGGAGAGTGGTGGAAATGGGGGCAGGCAGGGACCTCACAGAGCCAGAGCCGGGGTCCTGTCCTCTTTGGAGTGGGAAGTCCCTGGTGGGTAGAGCAGGCACAGACAATGGAGCAGAGGAATCTCTGGTGTCCTGCTGAGGGAAAAAATGAGCTCCAGTTTATCCCAGGGCGATTTTAAGGGTGGGCACCACCTCAGGGAGCTGCGTGGAGTTCTCAGGAAGAAGTCTCTGGAGTGAGACCCAGACAAAAAAAAAAAAAAAAAAAAAAAAAAAACAAAAAAAAAACAAAGACAGCCCCAGGCAGCAACCCTCCCAGAGGCCTCCCAGAGGGCTGGGCCCCAGCCTCCCGTGCAGCTCCGGCTGTCTCCCCTGGGCCTCAGCAACCAGGGCCTGTCTGAAGGTCTTCATGCTGGGGTTGGGAGCACTGGGAAAGATGCAGCTCCGTGCAACAAAACTGTCTTTAACCACAGGTCTTTCCTCGGGCAGGGGATGCTCTAAAAGGCAGTATCCTTCCTGAAAGGGCTCTGAAGAGCCTGCAGCAATCTTCTCGAGAGTGCAAAGAGCTCCAGACCCAGAGTGCCCACTGGGCTTCAGTAGGGCAGGCGCTCCCTGTACCGGGGGCCCCTGGGTCACTGACTGCTGGCCCAGAACTAGGGCTGGGGAAGAAGGAGGGCGGAGGCAAGATTGTGCTGCACTTACCTCTGCAGAAAGTTTATAAGGATGCGCCCAGACTTGGTAATCAATGTAGGCACTATTTGAATACAACAGGTTAAAATCAATGCCAAAAACTCATGAAAGACACCGCATTTTTACATACAAAGGAGCTCTCACAGAGCTGGGTGCCTGCAGTAAGGAGGTCCAGTCCTGGAAGCACAGAGCGAAACTTTGCTCCCTTCCCGTAGTCATTCTCAGTTGCGCCGCTAGGGGGCGAGCATCCGCCACACAAACCTCCAGGCCAGCGCACGTGGCTGGAAGAACCCCCGGGTGTCCCACCCCGAGGCTGCTGTGCGGATTCAGAGGCCAGGACCAAGGAGGAGGAGGCAGCAGCGCTTCAGGCCCCCAAGTTCCCGCAGATTCCACCTTGCTCTGGGAGTGAGAAAACAAAAGCCTCGCGTCTTCCTAGTTTTTCCCCTTAGTGGAGTTCTGAGTACTCTGTAAATCCTAGGCACAGCCCGGGACAGGGCTGTAATACTGGGGTTGTCCAGGAAGCAGGAAATCTGGGCTCCTGTCCTGCTACGTTCATCCTGTGTGGCTTCAGCCCTGTCATTTAGCATTTGCTGGCCTCAGTTTTCCCAGTCTGGAAAATGAAGGGCTGGACTAGATGATCTCAGAATCATGTTGACACTAAATATTGATGTTTCTGTCTCTAGCACGGTGGCAGGAAAGAACCGAGAATTCCTAAAACATGACTTAGAACAGCTGGATGAATCTGGCCAGCGCATTCCGAAAGGCTGAACTTTCACACTGGCCCCACCCCTCACATCTCGGGGCCTCTTAAGAGAACAGAATGACAGCCCACGGGGTGCAGCATCAGCCCCAAGGGGACCCTTTCCACTTCTCCACACTGCGGCTGCACGGTGGAGGTGTCTGAGTCCTAGAAAGAGGTGAGCTGGCCTCAGTGGCCCAGGCCTACGATCCCAGCACCCGGGGAAGGGGAACAGAAAGTTTGAGCTTGGCTAACTTAGTGAGACCCAGTCTCAAAAAAACAATACGGGCTCAGGATGTGTCTCAGAGCCAAGGCCCTGGGTTCAACCCCCCGTGCAAGCAAGAAGGAAGGAGGGAGGGGAGGAGGGAGGGGAGGAGGAAGGGGAGGAGGAGAGAAAGGGGACAGTAGAAGAAGGGGACAGGAGAGGAGAGGAGAAGAGAGGGGAGGGGAGGGGAGGGGAGGGGAAGTCAGTGCCAAAGCCACCTGCCTGGTGAACAGCGTGGCCACCCGCAGCTTGCAGGGCCATCTGTGAGCAGCAGATGCTCCCTGCCACCCCGCGATTCCCTGTGGGAGGACAGAGAGAGGAACCTGAACTGCCCTGCCTCTGAAGCATTCCTGAACGGTCAGGATTGGCCCCAAAATATTGCCCTCCTCCAAAGCTTTTGCTTCAACTGAGCAGCCACCTCCAACCCCCAGGCTCTGGCCTTTGGGAAACGGGAATGCCCCAGTGACCCCCAAGCCAGGATGAGTCAGGATTCATCTGGCACCACAACTCCCCAGCCCGTCAGAGCGGAATCCCTCAGGGGGCCCCTCCCCCAGTTTCCACAGCCTGGTTCTTTAACCAGTTGCCCTAATGGGGCCAGAGCAAGGCCAGCCTTGCCAAGGCCTGGGCAGCAGGAAACTCACTGGAGGGACCAGGACTCTGCCCCTCAGTAGGAAGGGGACACACAGTCCCTTCTGCCCGTCTTCCTATTCTTTGGTGTCGCTTGCACAGCTGTCACCAGGCCACATTCACACTGAGAATGGCACTGTAAGGGTGAGTTTGCAGGCCACAGGCCCAGTTTGTCACATCTAACGAGCTCTGTGAGAGTCCCAGCCACCCTGCCCCATGACAGAGGCCATGAGGCCTAAAGGAATTTCTGAGAAAAGGCCCAAAGGTGGCCTCAGCAAATGGCTCCTTGGGTTTGAGGGAGTTTGGGGTCACATTTTCATCTGCATTTTAACTTTCTCTCAGATTGGCCCCTATGCAAAAACAAAAGGAGCCCAGCTTCTTTGCTGGTGGGACTTCCCGCTGAGGGCCTGGTAGCCATGAGGCCTTCTCAGCCCTGCCCCACTGGTCTTGATGGAAGCTGAGGCTGCCTCGGATCCGAAATGGCTTGGTAGTGCGAGCTTCCTATGCTCCACTTGGGGCTCCCTTAGCCCACGAAACGTATGAAATTCATGCACGGTGTGGGCGTGATCCAGGGAGATCAGTGTCCTTGGAAGCGAACGCACTTGCAGGGCAGAGCCACCTGCCACAAGGGCCTGAAAGAAGACAGAGTGCTCCACTGGCCGCTGCCCACTGCTGCTGGGGTGGACCACGCTAGCTGACTGCTTTGTGTGCAGTTCTAAAAGGCAGAACTTAAACCCCTCATAGCCTTTTAAAGTCTGTTTATCCCACACAAACTTCTTGAGCCTCAACTACACAGCAAGCACCAAGTCAGTCAGACATGGAGGATACCGCGATGAGCAGGAGGATACTCAGATGCAGCCTCTTTGTCCTCTCAGGGCGCGGGGCCTCTCACAGGCCGCAGACACGGAAGGATGACCACACTGATAAACGGAAAATGGCAGCAGGCACGATGCCGGGGAGATGTCCAAGCCGATCTGCTCAGCAAGGTGTCAGGGAAGGCTTTTCTGGTGGAGCCACAATGATTTCAAGGGGCTGGGTGACACCAAAGACTTGGGCTTTGACAAGATTACTCTGGCAGATATGAGAACATTTCTATTTAACCTGAGGAAGAGCTTTCTGACAGACTGCTCGGCCTTGGGAAAGTCATAAGCTGTAAAAGCTGGTGTTCACTGGGCTCTCGCTAGGAACGAAGCATTGTGCCAAGTGCTTTGTGTGGATTAATATGTACGGCCTTGAGAACACACACAAGGGAAGGCATCACGGTGATGCACTTTTTAACAGTGAAGAAAAAGAGGCTCAGGAGGCTCACTGAGGCTTCCCCATGGAAAAGTTGAGAGCAGGTATTCAAGTCTGTGTCTGTCTGATGGCAGGACCCACAGTCCCATCCTCGCTGAACCTTGGAATGACCTGGCTGCAGTGTTTAAAATTCCCACCTTGCCCCTGCTCTCCAAGAGACCGTGATGCAATTACAAGTGCAGCCTGGGCCCTAGGAATTTGGGGACTGCCCCTCTCATAAGTCTATTGTGCAGCCAGACTGAGACCCATGGGCCTGTGGGGGACCTCAGAATTCCCCTCTGCTCAGGGATTCTGTGATTTCATGATGCACCCACGCTGCTACCTGAGCCTACTCCCCGAGGTCACTGGGTTTCCAGAGCTGACAGATGGAGGCCGAGGGACACTGGTCACGCCATGTTGGCACCATTGCCTGGCCCAGACAGCCAAGTCCACGGGGCTGTATCTCCACCCTACCAGCGCCCTCCCTCCAGCCCAGATCCAGCCTGCAGACCAGTTAGGAGGAGAAGAGCTCGAGTCTGCAGATTCACAGTGGGTGCTGCTGCAGCGGGGGGCTGGTGGCCGGGGGTGACCTGATTCTTTGAGAACATCTGGAGCTGTGGAAGGTGGAGAACCGTTCCCAGGGCCAAGCATCCTCAGAGGCCAGGGCTGCCATGCCTGAGGGTTAGGTGGTGGAAATCCAAAGGAACATCATTCTCACACCCATGTGGGCTCCTTGACTTCCCGGGGGTTCGGCCGCGGGGATATATTATGAAATGTGACCTCCTGTTCTCTCCAGCCGCCCTGGCCTCCTGTCACTGAAACCTGCCCAAGTCCTTCTCCCTCCCAGGCCTTTGCACAGTGATCCCTGGGCTTAGAACACCCTCACCCAGCCACTCATCTGACTGCTTTCTCTCTGTGGGTCTCTGCGTAGGCACCACTCCCCCAGGCAGCCGCAGCCTTCTGTTACCTCGCCAAGCAGCCCTGCCTGCCGCCTCTGTCCTAAGTGTGTGGCCTGCTTGATGGCCTTAGAACAGGTATGTATTTTTATGTATGTTATCACTTCCTTCTGGAGTGCATCAGAGCCTCAAAACAGGGCCATTACTGCATAGTCTAGAAGACAGCTAGCACCCAGCAGTGATGCAGAGAATGTTGTGGACCTGCTTGCTAGGTGGCCTGTATGCCAGGGCAAATAGTAGAACCTGGAGGCAAGAAAGAGCTAGTGTCAGGTGCAGGGCACACACCCGCAATTCCAGCTTCTACCCAGAAGGCTGAGGCAGGAGGATTGAGAGTCCAACGCCAACCTGGCTAATTTAACAAGACCTTGTCTCCAAAAATAGAAAGGCCCTGGGGAATGTTGCTCAGTAGTAAGCACTTGCCCAGCATGCAAAAGCCCTTGAGTTCAATGCCCAGTACCATTAACATCGAACTCTGGAGTCAGGTGGGCTGGATTTTTATTGTTGTTGCTGGTTGGTTGGTTGATTGGTTCTTTTTGGTACTAGAAATCGAACTCAGGACCTTGCGCCTGCCAGGCAGGCAATGTGCCACTGAGCTGCATCCTCAGCCCTGGTCAACTATATGGCCCAACCGCTGCAAAAATAAAATATTTTATTTTATTTTTATTATTTATCTACTTATTTTTGTCTGTTTGAGACAGGATTTTAATAAAAGGTTCAGGTTGGCTTTCAGTTCATTTTGTGAAGCCCAGGCTGATCTCAAACCTGCAACAATCCTCCTGCCTCAGTCTCCCAAGTGCTGGGATTACAGGCGTCTACCGCCAGGCCCAGCTTCAACCTCTCCATTTTATAGTTTTCCAACCTATAAAGTGGGAGTAAGACAATATCCATCAGCTGAGGTTTCTGGGAGAGTTGAGCGAGATAGCGTATGTGAGGTATGCAGGACATTGTAAATGGTCAGTAAAGCTCACAAGTTCACAGAGAGGCTTTGAAAGGCAGTAAGTGTCTTATTCCTGGCTCTGTCATTACTAATCATAGTGGTTGCTATTAAAAGGCATTGAATTTGTTTTGGTTTTGTTGTTGTTTTTTTTTGTTTTGTTTTGTTTTTTGGTACCAAGGATCAAACTCCTGACCTTGTGCTTGCCAGGCAGGCACTTGTGCTGCTGAGCTAAACTCCCAGCCCCTGGCCCTGTTGTGTTTGAGACAGGGTCTTGTTATATTGTTCAGGCTAGTCTTGAACTCACAGTATTCTTCCTGCCTCAATCTCTGAGTGCTAGGAATTTGTCCTGGGATCTCTTCCTTGTGTGAGCCTCAGTCACAATGTTTCCTTGGGGCCAAGGGGTCCCCATCTCCACATCTTAGAGGAGGAGACTGGTGCCCAAAAGGGTCAAGCAGCCAACTGTGAGCACCCCGCAATTGGTGAGCCTGGGAACCCAGGCTGGACCTACTCCAGGCGAAGACCATCAGAGCTCAGAGAAGATGCAGGGCGAAAGGGCTGGAAGGCAGGCTATGCCCATGGTCACTGCCACCCCCCACCATAGCTAGGGGAGGCCCGCACAGAGACCCACCCCGCTGGAAGTGCCACCACTAGTGCCATGCAAGGGCTGGGCTCACAGTACTTCTGTGACCCAATCTGAGCCCCTGCAGGCTGCTCTTGACCTTTTCCAAGCCTGTTTGGAGCTACGTCTCACTTCTAGACTCCGAATCTGCAAGGCCCATGTGACCTCATGTGGCCCACCTTGCAGTGAACAGCAACAAACTTATAACCCTAACTTGTTTTCACCCAAACTTAGCATTAGTGGTGCGAGATTTTAGGGCTCAACCAAATCATTCCAGTTAGGCCTGGGCCCAACTCCAGTCTGGTGGGTTGGCTGCACTCTGGATCCCGGGATAAGGAAGCAAACTTGGCATGGCAATACTCTCGGCCCATTTTACAGGTGAGGAAACAGAGCCGCAGAAATGGATCAGTCACATCTGGCCTCCATGACAGTCCTTCCAACCATACCATGCTCCGGAGAGGGCCAGAGAGAAGGCAGGTAGGTGCAGACACACAGTCCCTGGGAGCTCCAAGCGGAAAAGCCGCTTGCAGGATTGAGTTCCCAGCCACTCAGAACTCCATCCTGCTACAGCAGTTCATTCCCATCCCAGCTCTTTTCCTTGACCTCATTTATTGACCATAGACAGCAGTGGCCCTTACTTCACTGTAAAGACTCCATTCAATTAAAAGCCCCAAAGTGCATGCGCCATGGTGGGTAGGCAGCAGGCAGTAGCTACTGTTTTAATTGGACCACTATTGCTATAACTTCTGATAATTGTGAGCATTCTGGGAAACAAATCATAGTCTCCTCCAGCCAAGGGCCTCCTCTCCAGTGTCCTGGCTTCCCAGCTGGAGAAATCAACCAAGGGAATCTCTCTTTTCATCTGTCCCTTTTTCTTCCTCTAAACCAGCTTGTAGCATCTCTGGGGACCCATTGTCAAGTTTTCAGGAATTTTATGAGCTGGTTGTTAGGCACTGCCAGGATTAAAAGTTAAATCATATCAACTGTTGAGAAGTAACTTTCCATGAGTTGTGTCCTCGCTGGATTCATGAGTGGAGGCTCTGCCTGTCTTTTTCTAATAAAAAGGTGGACGAAACAGAAAACAATTTCTGCCTGCATGCAACTTACATTCTAATGGACAGATGGTAAACAGATGAAACAGAGGAGCTGATGGAGAGTCAGAGGAGGGGGGCTGGAGATTTAGCTCAGCAGCATAAGCACCTGCCTTGCAAGCAGGCAGTCGTGAGTTCGTTCCCCGGTACCGATAAAAAAAAAAAAAAAAAGCAGAGTCAGAGGAGGTGACACTGCAAAGGCGACATCTGAGTAGAGAGCATTAGAAGGTGAGCTGAGGATATCCAAGGGCATATATAGTGGCCCAGGTGATGACAGGAAGTGTTCCAGGCAGAGCAGATGTCAAATATGGAAACCCAAGACAGAGCATGCTGGTGTGTTGAAGGATTCTCACCAGGAACAGAACAGTCACTCCGAGAAATAGTGGCCGGGCTGAAAGCAGAGGGCTTTGTGGACCAAAGATCTGACATTGGGCCTCATGAGATTGGGAACAATGGTTTTAAATAAATGACTTATGCGTAAACAGGAAATAAATGAGAGCTCCGGATTCTCCCAAAATAAATGCTGATTGGATGGACCAGAGAATGACTTGCTCTGAAGTAGGTTTCACAATGATTAACTGAGAAAGGAGGGTGGGGTAGGAAACAGCTCAGGGGAAATGCACATCCCTGAACCCAGTTAAGACAAAATACAGATAAGAAATAATCCCACAGTCAGGGCTGGGAGGTTTTTCCCTTCCCTTTTGCTCTGCTGTGCTCTGATAAGGTGATGATGGACATCTCAGCAGCAGCCGCAGCTCTGACCTCCTCCTCACCTCCTCCTGTCCACCCTCTCCTAACTGCTTTCCAAACAGCAGCACCTCCTTGAGCCTCGCAAGACCCCAGCAAGCGGTTTCTGACTCAGCATCACATATTAAGTCAAAACCATGTAACAGAAGTGTCTTCAATTTTAGGGTCTTTTCCTCCACACCCAAGCACTACCCCTTCACATGGATTCAATTTAACATGTATTCTCCGTAGTGTAAACACAAAAATAAATAAATAAAATAGAAAATGACAGAACTAAGGAACCGAAGAGCTATGGCGTCATTTCACAGACAATGAAACTGAAGCTCCTACATCAGAGATAATGAGGGCTCCTCCTGCTGGGCAGCTGTGGGCCCAGTAGCTGTCGCTCGCGTCCTCTGCTCTGCTTGCAGTGACCTCCTTCAGCTACCCCCAGTCACCTCGTCCTCGGGGGCTGGGCTGCAGCTCCCTGTGCTTTGGGGAAGGGGTGGGGGCCTTGTGCGCACCCAGCATCCACCGTAGCTCTGGGGGCTTTGGTGTGCCTGAGTCCTCCACATACTTCACGTCTTCGATCATGGGGACTCCAGGAGCAGCTTCATGGGCCAGAGGACACACTGCTGGGCAATGATGAGAAGGTGACCATGCAGAACCTCAGTGACCACCTGGCCTCCTACCTGGACAAGATGTGTTCCAGAGGTGGCCAACAGGGACCTGGAGGTAAAGATCTGCGACTGTACCAGAAGCAGGGACACGGCGTGGCCGCTCCTACAGGCCATCCAGGAGCACCTTGCACGACCCCAACACCACCAAGATCAACTATGTACATTTGACTGCTGACGACTTCCAGACCAAGTTAGAGATGGAGCAGGCCCTGCACCTGAGCGTGGAGGTGACATAAACTGGCTGCACAGGACGCTGAAGGAGCTGACCCTGGCCAGGACAGACCTGGCCATGCAGATTGAAGGCCTGAAGGAGGCACTGGCCTATCCAAAGAACCATGATGAGGAAGTCAGTGCTGCAGAGCCAGGTAGGTGGCCAGGTCAGTGTGGAGGTGGATTCTGCCCAGGCACCGACCCCGTCAAGATCCTGAATGGCATGAGGAGCCGGTGTAAGTCCTGGCCGAGAAAACAGGAAGGCCACCAAGGCCTGGTTCATCAACAGGTCCAAGGAGCTGAGCCAGGAGATCGCTGGCCACACTGAGCAGCTTGAGGTCAGCAGGTCCAACGTCAGTGACTACGACCGCATGCTGCAGGGCCCTGAGATCAAGCTGCAGTCACAACTTGGCATGAAGTTGCCCTGGAAGGCACCCTGGTGGAGGCTGAGGCATGCTTTGGAGCCCAGTTGGTGCAGATCCAGGTGCTGATCGGCAGCACCGAGGCCCAGCTGAGCAATATGCGTGAGGACACATGAGTGTACTACCTGCAATACCAGCAGCTGCTAGGACTCAAGCTGCGGCTGGAGCAGGAGCTCGACACCTCCCACAACCTGCCCAAGGTCCAGGTGCCACTACAACAGCCTGCCCAGTCCGCAAGGTCCTCTGAGTGGCCAGGTGAGCAAGCAGCACCCAGGTAGGTGCTGCAGCCCTGCCCTGCAGAAAACTGGTCCTGGGCACCCAGAAGGACACATCCTTGACCCAGCCCCATCTCACCTCCCAATAAAACTTAATGGACCCACCACACTAAGTAACGGTGAGGGACTTGAATCCACAACCATTTCTTCCTGCCCCAGCTCGGTCCTTTGAGTAGCTGGTAACTCCATCCAATCAGGAGCTCAGCTCAAATAATGCAGAGATCATCCTTTCACCACAGCTTGGTCCCTCAGGTTCACCGTAATCCTAAACCAGCAGGACCTTGAATGGCAGAGGTGCCTTTCCATGACTTTCACGTGCCGTTTTCTATGCTGCAGCCAGGCTCCTGAATTCTGATACATTTTCATTTTTAAAATGTATGTGATTTTGACATTCCGTGTATCAACATCTCTTTACACGAGCATAAAAATAAAATGTTTTCCGTACCAAGATCTTGAGTAATATTGAAGTTTAAGGAAAGTGAACTGTGGTTACCTGGGACACACGGATGAGCTGCCACAGAGGCAAGGCAGCTTGCTGCTGGGTAGATATGGGCAACGGATGAAAAAGCACTTCAGGGTCAGTATTAATGCGTAACTGAAAGCAAGCCAATGAAAGTTCGTAAAACAAAACAGGCCTGGGTGGCACATACCTGTCATCCCAGCACTCAGGAGCCCGAGGAAGGAGGACTGCTGCGAATTCGAGGCCAGCCTGGGCTGTACAACAAGACCCTGTCTCACAAAACAAAAAACAAACAAAAAATTTGTAAAACAAAGCATATATCTTTGGGAAAAGCCACAATATCAGACTGAACTATCTGGAAGAAAGTGACTCGGCATTTAAGTCAAAGAACATGCTTGCATTTTTTTTTTGTACATTACTCAAAATTCTGTTTTGTTTTGCTTTGTTTTTTAGATATGGTCTCACTATACAGTTCAGGCTGGCCTTGAGCTCACTCGGTAGCCCATACTGGTCTCAAACTCACAATGATCCTCCTGCCTCAGCCTCCAGAGTGCTGCGATGACAGGCGTGCGCCACCACACCTGGTTTACTCATAAATTCTCAAGTTGTAAGCAATGACGACTTTTCCTTCTGTTGGTGGCCAAGACAAAATTATACCAAAAATAGATACATATATTTTGAGGTATTATTCTTGTCTTGGATTGCTTTGCATTATCTTCAAAGCCATCTCTCATTTATAGGGATTGAAGTTTAAATTACAAGTGCCAGGCTAGAGAGTGGTACTGAAGTCAGTTTTGCCAGATCTTTTTAAAATTCAGAGTACTTTTAGTGCTCTTAGTGTGGATGTTTGGGGTAATAACAGCTTGTGTTTATTTTTCTTTTCCATGTTTAAGGCTCTAAAGTTAGTGCAGCGTGTGCAGTACCTAATTCACTCCTGCTTACCCTGCGGTGATTTCATGCCCTACTGCTAGCAATCACCCTTTTATACAGAGGGTCTCAGGGTCCTTATTCCTCCACAGCAAAATCTTAATCCAGCCAAGGCACACATTCCCAGCTAAAAGGAAAAGAACACACACCTCTGCTGATTGCTCTCGTTTTAAATTCGTGCCTACAAATCTCAAATGGTACAAAATGTAACCTGTGAATGTTACCAGCTCCATCCAGCCCTCTAATAGTCTCAATGAAAATTCCCAAAAGTGGGAACCAGTGTGGAAGGGGAAGAGTGCAGAAGATGACATCACAGACATCACCAGCACCTGGGGCACATAAGCCCTTGTGGGACACTGTAAGGACCTGGCTTTACTCCTGGGCTGAAGGATCATTGGATGGTTCTGAGCAGAAGGGGATGTGCCTGATTTCAATCACAAAAGCATCTCTCTAGCTGCTATTTTGAGAATAGACTTTAAGGGACAAGGACAAAAGCAACATCTATGACAGACATCATTATAATCCAAGCAAGCAGTGATGGACCAAGACAGTCATAGAGGGGCTGGGGATTTAGCTCAGTGGCATAAGTGCCTGCCTGGCAAGTGCAAGGTCCTGAGTTTGATCCCCAGTGCTGAGAAAGAAAAAAAAAAAAAAGACAGTCACAAAGTAGGAGCTTACCAAGAGAA